AAGTTAACTGTAAGTTAATACTTTAATAAAGTTATATCTCTTTGTCGCGAAATTTCAGAGTTAGATTCTTTAAGTAAGATTTCAGAGTCTCGAATAAAAAGACTAATTATGCACGGATTGAGACCCGAATTTAGAAGTTTCTTTGCAACAATACAAGGTTGGCCAAAGCAACCTTCATTAATTAATCTTGAAAATTTGTTAGCCGACCAAGAAGCGTTAACCAGGCAAATGTTAGGGGTTTCAATTAAGAAATAAGAGGAAGAAGCACTATATAGTTATAAAAAAGAAGTCGACTCCGTCAACAGAATAATAAAGAATTAAAAGAAAATAAACGAGTTGAAAGAAGCTATCAAATAAAGGGAGTTCAACAAAATTGCGACATGAGAGATAAAAGATAATGATCTAATGGCTTGTGGTTTGTATGTGGCAAACGAGGCCATTACACTAGAGATTGTTGGTTTAAAAAAGAGTCAACATAAGGTAATATAGCAACCTCTAACAAGCAAGAGAAGTATAATAGTGAAGAAGAAAGGGATGTTGCTAAGGCAATGACAACAATAATTGAGCAGACTCGAGAGAAGAAATTAAACTCAAATGTGAAGGATGAATCAGCGTTAATGGTAATCATGCGCAAATAAATTGCGAAGGTGATTGGATTGATGACTCAAGAGAAGATGATTGGATTGATTCAGAAGAGGACATCATGTTTCATAAAGAGTCTTCAGGGTGGACTTCGCAAAGGGATGAACTATTAGAATTAGAAGAAATGTTCGAAGAAACGCATACAACGTAGAGGGTAAATCTGCTAGATCAAACATTGCAGAAGGTGGAGCAAACATGGAAGAGGACGAATCTGCTAGATTTAAAGGAAATGATGACAAATTGCAAGAGAAAATAATGGAACGAAGCCCTGGAGAAACTAAAGATTTACGAATGCTAAGTAATAAATGAAAGTTTATTAGAGCAACACAAAATACAAAGGATCGACAGGGTCAACAAGAAATTGAGGTATGTATAAATTTACAACCACAAATAAGAAAGTTTGGCGGATGTGAGAAAGCAAGTACCAAGTATGCAACTTTCGAAGAAAACAAGTGCGAAATAGCTAGTGATATTTAAAGCCACGGATGTGTTGAATAAAGGATTAATTGCTTCAAAAGTCATCGAGTTTAAGACACGAGTAGACGAGATGAAGAAGAAAAAGGTTAAAATGAAAAGTCAATGCTAAAGGGAAAAATTGAAGATGCAGCATAGACTTTTATGAAACTCACTAGAATTCTCTAGTTATGCTACAACTAGGGATGGTAATCAAACTCGTCGGCTCGGGCTGAAAAAAGCTCGACCCGGCCACGTTCGAGGCTCGAAGACACCGAGCCAAGGTTGAGCCAAGCCCCATTTTGGAGAGTCGTCTCGAGTTGGGCCGCCCTGTAAAAAAAAACAAAACGAGAGTAAAAATCTACTGCCTTAACCGGCAGCTGCCGATTAAGGCAACATATATTTGGTAGATTTTAACTGCCACCCGGCAGTAGATTTTTGGTTGCTAAATAGGTAATATTTTTAAGGGAAAAAATTTTAAAAATTCCAAAAAATTGAGCTCAGCCCGAGCTGAAAGCTCGGGTCAAGCCTTTTTTTGTTGGCCGAGCTTTTGCTTGGCTCGGCTCGAACTAAAAAAAGCTTGAATCGAGCCCGAGCCAAGAATTTCGGCTCACAAGCGACTCAGCTCGTTGACACCCCCTTCTACAACCCATTTCTTGATGCTTCTTCTCCAAGTAGATCTGAAATCATCTAGAACATGCAAAATAATCATCTCCATCGAGAATTATCTGGAATCGCCGACTATGAGGAAGCATCAAGAATTTTCTAGAAAATTGGTGATGATTCATGACTAGAAGATGATAGAAGAATCTAGAGTGCATCATGCCTAAAAGATAATAGAAGAATCCAATTACTATCACCACAATTTATGGATATATCTAGAATTAAGTTCACCACCATACTATAACCATACACAACTATCCATTAACACCTATAAATACAAAGTGACTATGTATGCATGAATGATGAGAGAAAATGTGCAAAGAGAAAGTGAGAGAAATAGAGAAAGGCACATATGTATGAGTGGTGTGTGTTAGATAAATCAAGTAAGTAAATAGAGAGAGAAAAAATAATTAGTGCTTCCTTTAATTATTGTAAGAGTTGTGTACTTTGTTTGTAAAAATATTTTTATCAATAATAAAATCATTTTCTTTAAGAGTTTAAACTTGTCAATTTGGTATCAGACGTCATCAATAAATTCTTTTATGGACACCTGAAGGCAAGTATGATTGTATTAAATAATTTTATAGAATTATACTCGAGATATTGGATTTTACCAATTAATCTAGAGGGCATAAATAAGTTTAAATATTTTGACCTACATAATTTAGAGCCCGTTTGATTTTCATTTTTTTAAGAATGAACATGAAAAATATAATCATTACGAGACCCATACAAAAGATAGAAAGTCAAATATGGTGGTTTGATATGATAGATAACGGACATATTATTCATTTTTGTGACCAAAGAATGAAAATCAAACAGAGGTTAAATTTTAAGTGGCTACATAATTGTTGCATGAGTTCTTCTTCACTGACAGGGACCTTTGACAGGCCCCTGTGAGAGGGGCTGAGGTGTCAACCCCTCAGCCCCAGATCTGGATCAACCCCTGTGACAGCCTCAGCCCCTCAGCCCCTGTCATAGGGGCTTGTCAAAGGCCCCAGTTTGAGTAGATTAATTCTTGTTACATAATGCAAAGGAAGCTTTTAGTACCGGAAATGCATACTTCTCAAATTTAAGTGCTCATATTTGGGGTTTTTTGTCGAAAATACATTGCATCATTTGAAGAGAATGTAGTTAAAAGGTGGGAAAATATTTTGAATTTAAATGTAAAATATTTTATTGAGAGGATGTACAATAAAAAATGAGTTAAAAAGAGTTTTTTTGTTTTTTAAATAACGAGGTCAAACATGGCAGGTCCAAGCTCATGCGTCCACAATTCAACACGTGCACATCATGGCTTACGCATCAAGCAATGTTAAATATTGTGCACTACTATCAATTAATTCTTTTATTTCCGTAACATGTGCATCAACAAATAATTATACATACAAGTCCAACTTTGACCCTTCATCTATCTTGTGTGACTCCAAAAAAAATTGCAACTTAAGAGTGAAAAGATATCGAGCTTGGAACGACTGGTAGGATAATTTTCTCTCGATTTCTGAATTGGGCATTTTTTTTTCTATTTTTTTGTGATGGGATCTACTTATCTGATCCAATTTTCAAAACATTTTATTTTTATTTACAATATAGTACACAATAGTACACAAATTAGTTTGGGTCAATCTCATAGATTCATTGATTTTTTTGCATAACAAAAAGATAACATTTTGTTTCGTTTAATTATTTCTCCTTCACATGGGACGCACTTCCTCATTTTGTGGGCTTGTACTATTGAAAATTAGCATATTATACAATTTTACATAATCGATACAACTCCTGTGTGTATATATAATACAAAGGCTCTCCATTTCATCTTCATCTTCATCTTCATCTTGTGTACAAAGATACATGGGGAGAAAATGCATAATTTCCGTGCTTTATGCAATCCTGATTGCCAGCATTGCAATGCCTGTGGTTCTGGCGATTGACAAACGGCCGGTGGCCGTAGAAAGGTGGTTCAAAAAGCTCCCTCATGCAAAAGAAAAGTTGACCAAACTTCACTTCTTCTTTCACGACGTTGTGAGTGGCAAAAATACAACGGTGGTCCGGGTGGCAGAATCCAAAGCCACAGCCAAATCACCAACCGTCTTTGGAGCGGTCTTTGTCATGGATGATCCACTGACAGAGGGACCCAAACCCGATTCCAAGATAGTGGGTCGAGCTCAAGGCATTTATAGTCCAGCTTCAATGGAGGAGATTTGTTTTTTAATGACCCTAAATTTTGTGTTCACAAATGGCCAGTACAATGGCAGCAGTCTCAGCGTGGTTGGGCACAATGCGATATTTAACAAGTACCGGGAGATGCCAATTCTTGGTGGCTCCGGCCACTTCCGCCTTGCACGGGGGATCGCCACTGCCAAAACTTACCTCATTAGTGATTCCGGCAATGCCATTGTGGAATACAATGTCATGGTCTTGCATTATTGACGCTCACCATAATCGTGTCTTTCTTTTGTTCATTAATTAGTGTTACGTTTTTCCTCTTAAAGTTCATTAATTGGAGGTAGACGATACGTCCTTGCTAAATTTGTTTTTCATTTTTACCTTTTATTATCAATAAATACTCCAATTTTATGGTGGTTGAATAAGAAAGGAAGAAAAACAAAGATATTTTGATTTGCAGCCTTCCATTCATATTTCATTTCAAGCCTTAGCATCCCTACGCAAAGGTCAATAAAAACAACTAATGCTGATGAATAAATTAATGTAACATTGTCATGTTAGCATGTTGCATTAATCTTTGAATCGAGCTAAGAATTTAAAACAAGGCAAAATTTGTTTTTAGAAGCTAGTAATTCAACTATAATAAAAATTTAAGACCAACTTATTTATTTTTCAATCAATTATAAAATCAAACTATTCATAGAAATATTCAGCTTACTTATCAACTCAGCAACTAAAGTCAAAACTTCTTTTAAGTAAATTCGTTTCACACATACAAAATGTATTCCATCGGCCGGGAAAACCAGAGTAGCACAACAGCTTATTCATGCCAAAATCCAGATGCAATATAACCAACCAATGCAAGAAAACTATCTCAATCAGTTGCCACTAAAAATTGAACTCCAAAATTGGTACAAGAACTTTACTTGATTATAATAATATACATCCTTTAATTAGGTGCTAAAAAGGTAAATCAACAAAAGCAATAAAATCAAGTTCTTCGAAATGAGAATACGTGATGCCTTGTATTTCTTCAGACAAGCTTCTAATTGACACAGTATTTTTCTACCTCTTACCCACCTATTGGACAGAGGAAGCATCTGCATAGATAGAATAGATAGGGAATCATCAAGACAAAAGAAAAGCAAGCAAATGCGGGAGAAAAGATTTGAAACGAGGGATATCTGTGACCATGAATAACGGAAAATCAAAATAGCAATTTCTGATCCACGAGAAACTATGTAAATAGAGTGAAATGTAAACTATCCAACGTATGGACATAACCAGTGAATTGTACTTGGATATCAATGTGAAAGCAAGATAGAGGTATCTAAAGTTCGGGTTGTCAGGTACAAGTACCAGATTTACACTTGCTACTCTCTCTTACTTTCTTCACTGATTTGATGATATAAAAAACAGAAATAAGGCTACAAGCGTAATCAGGCAGCATTGAGGAGTGAGTGAGACTCATATCATAAATGTAAGGACTAAAATAATCAGTTTTATTAGCATTACTATTAGATCGATTCTTTCGGATTGTTCTCTCGAGAAGAGTCCAAACATCATGAATTCTACAGTGGCTAGAATTGAAGAGGAAAAGATACTTCACATCAATTAGTCTAAAGAAATATCAATCTACAGGATAAGAAGTGCTTCGAGATTGACTAGTTGACAACATTAAATAACATACTAAAACTAATGAAGTGCAAAAATTCAGCTTTGCAACTACCAAGACAACTTGATAGGAAAGGAGAATGAACCTTGATACCTTGGTTTGTTGCTTATCCACAAAGGATGGCCACCAAAAAATGAAACTCGGAAGATCCAACAGCAGCCACATCATGGATGACTCAATTTTCATCATTATGCATACTGCATGGGCTGAGAATAACCAAGCAACTTTTTAGCCAGAGGAATTAAGCTGATCAAGGCTATCTGAAGGTGTTCAGTGCTGTTGATACGAATACTAACTTGTCCAGACCCCCTGTTATTTATATTGACACGGCCAATAAAATTCGTATGTCGTCCAATAGGGATCTGAGTCTGTGAATTGCATCCAATAGCAAGATCTCCATGCCAGTCCATGACTGAGAGTCCCAAAGTTGATAAGAAACGCCCTAAAGGATGATCTTTGTCCCTCAGTGTTGCTTCCAGACTACCACCATATGCAACATCTCCACGACCAAAAATGGCTCCTCCGGAAACAACCATCTGACCTCGTTTACCAACAATTAATTTGTCCTCTAATTTCATTCCACCAGTTAAAACATCACCCAACAGAGTAGCTGAAAGACCAGCAATGGCCTTATTTATTCTGTGATTGCTAAATCTTGTCTCACTTCGAAGAGTATAAGCAATATCCTTTCCAACTGATTGCATATCAAAACCTACTGAAGTTGCTTTCCCATTCCCATGTTTCACTGAACTCGCAATTTCCATTTGAAGGTTGGCGTCCTTTTTATCTTTTGAAACGTGGCCAGAAAATGATATCGGTACCTTATCTTTAACCACAAACAATCTTTCTACATTTATGCCCTCGTAACCAATGTCGTGATCCCAACCATTAGGTTCTAAGACAGGTCTCACAAGCCATGGGTTAGAGGAGTCGAGATAACGATATCGATGAGTTGGATTATCAGAATCAAAGGAAGCAGGTAGGGCTAAATCTTGCATAGGAACTGGCACAGACGCAGAACCATTGGTCTCTTCTTCTGCATTTTCACCGAGGTCAGGAGACAAATCTTTAGCTGCTTCTTGCATTTTCTTCATCATCTTCAGCCGCTTTTTCTCTTCCTTCAGCTGCTTCTTCATGAAAAGTTTTTCCCTATATTCTAGTTCATCATAGTATGCCTTCCTTTGGGCTTTAGTAAGCTTTGCCAGCTGTGCTTTGGTCAATGGTTTGAATGGTGGTAATTCATCATATTCTGATTCATCTTCCGAGTCTGAGCACTCATCCAGATCCTCATCTAAAGCATCATCCTCATCGCCGAATTGCTCTGATGGCAATTTCACTTGGGGTCTTGACTGCAGAAGCGATGAAAGAAGGAAAGGTAAAGGAGGCGATCTTGCTCGAGAGATAAATGGCTTTCCAGGTGAGCTATCTTGCAACTTCAGTAATGTATTTGCTTCAGCCAAAATTTTTGAGGCAAATGACAGAAGCAACAAATGAGGTTTCCAAACCTGACCGTTTGGCAACACTCTCTGTCCAGCTCTGTTTGTTCTGCATGCCAAGTGGTTCTCCACCAATGAAACTGGATTCATCAACCGCATATCTCCAGCAGCCTGACGTATTGCTTGCTGGACAACATGAGAACGCTGGGTTACAAACATGTCATAACTTGTTGCAGTGCCATTGGGACCTTCAGGTGGCGCAGATGCAGCATGAGTTAGAACGACAATTGCATTGAACCATATAGACGGTCCAAAAATTTCGGTGATTGTACGCAGTAATGGCATGTCGCCAAAATCTCTGCTCTGCATATCCAATCTATCCAGATACAAAACAATGTCTGGGGTTGTTTTGTTAATAAACCTTTTGACAGAACGGAGGACTTTCTCATTCTGGCGTTGGTCTGACCATGATGGCAAAAGCCCAGGGGTGTCAATTACGCGTACCTTGATTCCCTGCACAGTCCCAACAATATCCTGAACCTTCTTGGTGCCCAACTGAAAAGCATCAGTACCAAACTTAACTTCGTCAAATATGGAATTTATGGTTGCACTTTTACCAACCCCTGTTTTCCCAAGAACCATGATTGTGCAGGTGAAATCCAAGGGTTCTTGTCCAGCTGCCTCAAGTTGCTCGGCCATTGCACTGGCACGATCAAAGCTAAAGGCAGCAACACGACCCCCACTTCTCCCCCGTAGCTGCTCAGCTAACCCTAATCTGTACAAGACCTGAGCCACAACAACGTTATGGGGAGTCTGCCCAAGCCTATGAGCAAGTCGCAGAAATTTGACCCGGATCATCTGGAGCTTTTCACGGGTCTCATCATACTCCTCGGCCTCTCCATTTGTTGGATCTTCAATGAGTTGGTCCTGCACTCGAGAAACAGCTCCATTCACCCGAGGCTGCTGTACCACCCGAGAAGTAGGTTCCAATAGCGGGGCAGCACGCCCAAGGCCAGCAGGACGAGAAGGAGTTGCAGAGTTAACATTGGATGGAGCAATATTAGTTACAGGCCTGATTACCTGTTCTCTGTTTCCTAGTATATTTTGAGTGGGTTCTAACTGCGGGGACACATGCTCACGGATAGCAGGATGTGCGGGAGATGAAGAGTTAGCAGCCACAGGTTTGATTAACTCTGAAGCAACCTGCTCCTCCTTCTCGTCCTTCAGTCCTTCCTTCTTTGGCTCATTGACAACAACTTCAGAGACTTCCTCATTTGCATTGACCAGCCGAGGTTCAGAATCCCCTGAATTTTCTGCTACCAATTCAGATGAGCTAAAACAGGGCTGCTCAACACTTTCAGCCATGGAATCTTTTACCAAAGGTGAACTCACAACCTCCAGGTTTTTTGTGCTTTCCTCCACTACAGCAAGAAAATCATTACTGAATCGAGAACTTTCGTTCACTTGAACAGCCACAGAAGCATCTGAAGCTGGTAAGCTCCCATGCTCTTCCCCAGCAATATCCTGATTGTAAGCTTCCTCACTGTGTGACTCTAGTTTCTTCAGTTCTGTATTCTCACCATCATTTAGTTGGGCACCAGAAATGAGTGAATTTCCAACTTCCTCCCTGACGATAGCCACAACATTCGGTTCATCGTGATGCAAAACACCCTCACTGGACTTAGACTCTGGCAAAGGTTCAGTTTCAATTCTTTTGATCACATTACCATCTTGGGTTTCTGATGAAGTCTTATGACTCTGTTCTTTCAGTGCATCAGAATCTGAAAGGATTGGGTCTTCATGAGTCAAAGTTTCAGCCAAATTCATATGATCTGACGCACAATTCACAGGCTCCTCCATACCAGTATTGCCTCCTTTCACCTCATTGGCATCTCGAATCTCTGAAATCTCGTGAATCTGGGCTTCCTTCGTGTCAGGCTTCTCAGAGCCCACATCAACCCCTTTTAACTCACTGACATCTTGAGTTTCTGACATCTCAGTAATATTTTCTTCCGTTATTACAGCATCGGCAAACTCTGCAGGATCTGATGCATCTTTTTCAGGGTTCTCAGGAGACTTACCTAACTTTCCATCAAAATCATCCATGTCATTTAGATTTTCAGTTTTTCCAGAAGCAACAGAATCGGTGTCACCTACTCCATTCTCAACAGCAGTGCTGTCCATCAACCTATTCCTTTCATCCATCACAAGTTTCTCTGCAGCAATTTGATTATCATCAGAAGACTCATTCATCAAAAAATCAGCTTTTGCCTCGGACTCCTTATCTGCATTCTGAAAAGCACCAGAAACCCCAATTGCCTCTTCAAACATCTCAACCTCGTTGCCTAGATCTGAATTCACATTACTATTCTCTGAAGTCACAACTGTGTCAACAGTTTCATCATTCTTCATCTCTCTATTCTCTGAATTGACCCTCGGAGTCTCTGCCACCGCCTCCTCAAACACTTCATCTCCATCTGGGTCCTTCGACCCATCCAAACCTGAATCAGCATTTTCTTCTGCTCTTGACTCCGAAATCTCATTGTTTACACCATTTTTCTCCCCTAATTTAGACCCATCTGTGATGATAATACCTTTATCCATCACAAAACAATCTTAAAACGCCCAAGTTTCACTGAAACACAAAATTAATAAATTAATAGAAAATAAAACCAAACACCAAAATACCTCAGTAACAGATATTAACAGCACAAACAATGAGACTTAACAATCATATCTAAACTTTAAAAAAGTACCCAAATACAAAAAAAAAATGATTTTAAACAAAACGAAAGAGCATTATGCATATTGACTCCCAATAAATTCATAGAATGTCAAACCACTTCATCTAAGTGCTTTAACTGTTAGAGGGCAGGCAAAATTTATTTATTTATTCACTGGTATATAATACGTGATATTGCAGTTTTGTGCAAACTCACCAACAAGCTTCACTAAATAACCGAATAGAACTCAAAAGCGTAATTTCAAAAATATCAATACACATTAAAGAAATCTACTTAATGAAAACAAAACCCATAGCACCCGAAACACATACATTATTGATTTCGAACGCATAAAACAATACAGTAATAATTTCGCATGCTAATCATTTCTGTAACACTTAACCTGTACAAATTGATGCATACAAGCATAAAAATAAAATCTGCAGTGTACATCAATTAGGGTTTTGCATTAATTATTTAAGGGCCGGCGGAAAAAAAACAAAAAACAAAAAACAGAACAAAACAAAACATAAAATAGATTCCAAGTGAAAAAAAAAAATGAAAAATTACCAGACAATACGCTTGATATCGAGAGATATACAGAGGTTTAGGGTTTTAGGGGATCGGGCGTGGCTCCGTTGTATTGCAGTAGAAAGGGGATCGTCTTTGTAAACAGCTAAACCTGAACTATAAAATGGGTGAAATTGAGGATAAGAGTTAATCGACGGTGGAGAGGAGTTTGAAATTTTGGGATCTAACGGTTAAGAATTACGTATAGGTTATTATTGAAAATTTTGTACCCAATAGTGGAGAAAAGGATTAGGTGGTTCAAGGAACACGTGGACCCAACAGGATTGGTATGTGTTGTGATTAACTTGGGTTAATCTGCACCCTTGACACTCTAATATATTGCAAATAAAAGAAAACGTGAAATAGCAAAGATTGGAGAGTGCGATTAATTTATTTTAAAGAAGAACAATGAATGCTAAAATTGTAATGATCGACAATAATAGAGAGAGCGAGTGAGCTTGTACAAGTTGAATTAAATTGTACAATATTATTAACCTGATGAAAATATCAACTTACAGAAATGTGACAAAATAATATCTAATTTAGAAAACACAAATTTAAATGTCGTGGAAACTTTAGTTTCGGATGGATTGCACTTACACCTTCAATTAATTTTGCTAACTTTTAATGATTCTTATTTAGTGAGTGTTTACCTTTTTCATATCTTGTATAGTCCAATTAATAGCCCATTTGACAAGATTTTTAAAGTTGAAAACTACTTTTGAGATTAAGGTGTTGCTTTTGAATCCATTTGAATTGTTTTCATAAAGTATTCTGTCTGACAAGCAGAGTTTTTAGAGAAAATTGGCCAAATGCATCATACTTAACCCCCATTCGGTATAGATTAAAATAAGATTTTTAGTAAATTTTGATAAGAGTTGATAAAATATATATAATTGCAATGCTGTTAATCCCGCAAAATATATAATTAAAATTAATTGTTGACTATGACGTGAGGTTAAAATCAGATTTTAACTTATATTGAAGTTGTAAAAAACAGAGGCAAAGTACAAGTCCGAACCCTAAACCCCATTTTCATTGTTTAGACAATGAGTTTAGAGAAAATCAATTCAGGGTTTCAAAAGGCTTTGAAAACTTGTCAAAATAAATACCACATATTTTTTTCATTAGTTCAAGCAATTATTCATATAGCCAAATACAAAAGTTAAATTGTCTACCATGTTTATTGTTTGTGGTGTGTCTAGTTAGTTTGAGAGATTCAATTCTCCGACTACATGTGTTTATCATATAGAAATTTGCACTCCAATCGATTAATCATATGCCAACTGATTGTACCTTAATATGTTGATTCAGTATGAGTATATTCAGAAGAAATGAAGAAGATAAGCTTAAGGTGGTTAAAGTTCTGCACAATAAGGGGACCCTTAATGCAGAACAAAAACTAGAGTCCATTCAGGAACATTTTTTCCAGCCAATTTTATTCAATTGTCCATTTAGTGAAAGAGAGTCCTTTTTACTTTTGACAAGGAACAAGTTTTGGATCTTCCCCTTTGTCATGTACTCACATATTTTGAATTTTAGTAGCTACTCAATAAGTGAAGCTTTATTCTGAAAGACACCCTTTTACAAGGATACTAATGTAAATGTTTTTGTTCTTTCTTTTGATAAATTTCTCGCTTTAGAGACTATTTACTTGAAAAATGCTCAACTCGATTGATTTGGCAACTACTCGATTCTATACGAGACTTTCTCTTTGAAAAAGATGAGTAAATAAGTTTGAGTATTAATTAGGGGTGTCAACGAGCCGAAAATCGAGGCTCGGGCTTGACTTGAGCTTTTCTAGGTCGGAATTTTTTTGGCCCGAGCCGAGTTGAGCAAAAGTTTGGCCAAAAAATTGAGACTCGACCCGAGCTTTCGACTTTATTTTTCCTGTTTTTTTTTTCTTGAAGACAATTCATCTACCTTTAAAAAGCAACCAGCTACTTTATTAATATTTTTATTTTTTTAAAGTATCGAGTCGGCCCGCACCCTAAGATGGGGCTCAGCCTGGCCTGACCCAGGCCGGCTAACCAATTTGCCATCCCTAGTATTAACTCTAGAGCTTTACTCAATTGTCAGGTTCATTTGCAATCGAAAAATGACTACTAGCTAGGTTTATAATATCAAGAGAATACGAGGTGAGACGGGTCGAGTTTGGCTCCAAATTCAAACAATTTGGTTAGCTTTAGTTTGGACGGGCCTATTGACTAAAGTACTATGGCGTGGCAATTAGTGATTAGCTTAGCGTTGTTTGATAATCATTATTTCAAAACTCTTTTTACATATTTATTTTCAACTACACATTTGTACAACAAAATATTTTACAAGTAAATTCAAATTTTTTCCCACCTTTTAATCACGTTACACGTTCTTCAAAAAATCCCTATTCAAAATTTCATAAATCTTAGGATAGTCCCAAATTCTGGTCCACCCCTACTAACCGTTGACGGACCATTGTGCCTCTTAGGCAATAATTCTATGTTGCGCTTCTTGCAGTGCTCTTTCTCCCTACTCTACTTCTAATCCTCATATTGAAATTCTGGAAAATCAACAAGGGAAATCATCTAGGCCAATTTGATTTGCGTTTCAATTTTCTATTTTGAAAATAACAAATTTTTTTGATTTCGCATCCCAAGGAACAATCAAGAAATATGTTGATTCTCTACCTTTCTTAACTTGCAAAAGCTTTTGCTTAAACTCGAAAAGCACTGCCTTTTTTTTTTTTTTTTTCTAGCAATATAACAATTTTAAATCCATTAAAGATACTGATGTCAATTAACCTCACGAGCTCGTGGCTCGTCGACTCGCGAGCTCATGAATTTTTTTTAAATACAAAAAAATACAAATAATTTAATAAAAATACTGTTTAAAAATATATAAAGTGTTAAAAAATATAAATAATTTAATGTATTTTTAAAAAAAATAATTTAATGAAGAGATTTTTTTTTATTTCTATTATATTGTAATTTTTTTATAAAATATAAAATATTTATGTAATGAAGACGAATTGTTTTTTGAAATATATTTACAAAAAATGCATTTTTTCGATTTTTTTTAAAGTAGATAAAATGTAAACTTTCCTCCTTTATCCGGATTTGGGACCGGCTACATCAATTTTAAGTAGGCGGAATTAAAAATTGTATACAAACAACTTGTCATAACGTGTACAATTTTTTTAAAGAAAAGTAAATTTAACGATTAAAAAATAAGAAAATTTTGATTAATATAATTAAATCAAATATCACTTATCTAACAACATGCAATTTCAACATATTTATCTTGTAGTAAAAAATGAGCATCCTGTCAATCCTTAACGCACATTAATGCTACTAAAATATCTTTTTTCAGTTAGCTCCTGATATTGATCAAAACCCTTTTACCTGTACTAAAAGCAGACTCCGAAGCAACAGTGCTAACCGGAGGTATCAGCAGATCTTTCGTAATTACTGAAACAATTGGCCAACGTTTTTCATACTTTCGCCAGAATTCAATTACTTCTTCTGAACTTTTTTTAATTGTTCCGTCTATTAGAATATTATGATTGAAGTAGGCATCGCATTTTGAGTTGCGGTCGATATTTGATGAGATGCAAATGTAGATGACATGTCACTAGATGAACACATTGCAGTTACATTATATCTAAATGTATTAATGCCTTGAAATAAATTCATTATTTCGGCATCATCTTCTTCAATTTCAGCCGAAGAAGTAGGTGCAGAGGGTACCCGACTAACTTTCGCGCCCATTCGTTCCACGTATAAATCATACATTGCACATAATGTTTGCTCTAAATTCTTATAATTAATAGGTGTATCAAGTAATAAGACTTTATTAATTTGATAAATTACGTATTTGGTTCCCGAAATATTATATTGGGGTCCATTGCGCATGCTAAAGGAAATAACATAGGCAGTTCTTCCCAATTTTCTAAACTTTAATTCCATATCAATTATAATTTCACTAAAATTATGATCATTTTTATATTTATGGAATGTTCTTGCAATTATATAAAGGCGTTCAAGCACCATACAACTTATGGGATAGTAAACATCCGATAAAATATTTGTGGTCTCATAAAAAGATATCAAAAATCGTTTAACTTTCAAAATTAAAACTCAATCGGATTCATTTAACATACAATCGTCATCGCTTCTAACATGTCTATTGTTATAAAAGTCAGTTATTAAATATTCGAAACCTTCACATAACTTTAATAGCAAGTAAGTAGAGTTTCATCTATGGCCTACGTTGCTAACAAATATTTTAGCAATCGTTACCTCTAGTTCGGTACAAAATCTTCAAATGCTTGTTTTCTATTAGGAGAGATCGTAATATATACTAATGTGTTCCTAATCTTTTAAAGTTCATCCTTTATATGTTTTAAGTCATCTTGCACAATTAAATTCAAGATATGGCACACACAACGAATATGAAAAAATACTCACCGAAATCAAGTTGAAATACCCTACACAATTTATCGACGACTACCTTATTAGCACTAGCATTATCAAAAGCAAAAGATTGAATTTTAGTCTCGCAATTAATTCTCTAACAATACTAATAATAGCATTATATATATTATTAGCATTGTGACGAAACTCAATAATTCTACAAGCAATAATTTTTTTATGCATGCACCAAAGTGAGTCTATATAGTGTACGATTGCAACTATATATACTCTTTTATTAACCCCTTCCCATATATCAGAAGTTAAAAATATAATACCTCCTTATTGTTGCAAATTCATAATTAATTGTTGTTTTGAATTATTGAAATATTGTATTGTATCAGAACGAATAGTGTTTCGACTTACCCCAACACACCTTGGTGGCAGATATTCTTTCATGAACGAGACGAAGTGTTGTTTGTCGGCAATAGCCAGAGGCAACTCAGTGGTGGCAACAAATTTCACCATTTCGGTTCGAGTATTGTCCTCCGAATATACCCACGTGGATAGGGGTGAAGTCGTAGAACCAGTGCCTGGACTGCCAAATTGCAATTGTGTGTTGACCAGCTGGAAGAAGTTCATGTCAGACCACACATGCTTTGTAGTAGCAGTTGAGATGGGTGGTACCAATTCCTTTTTGCCATGCCAATCTTTGTTGGCAGTATTTAGATTCTACGAGGGCATCGACA